CCTCAAATTAGTCGCTTCCCTCTTAACGCGCCAGCTCTTCATTTCTCCGAGAGCTGCCAGGGAGGCGTCCCGTGGCGCGCTCCTTTGAAATTCAAATAACCGGTTTTCCACCTCTCCTGCTAACTGACGCCTTGAAAGCCTCCCGTCGCTCCCAGCTCCTGTACCGTCCCGCTCATCTGCGCCCACGCTAATTAACTTTTCCTCCCAATTATCGTCCCATCTGCCTGCGTCTGTGAGCGCTGGAGCAAAGGAGAACTTCAAGACGACATGGGGCAGCGGGCGAAAGTTTCTCAATATAACCCGTGACTGAGTTTTCTTGCCCCAGATCACCTCTGTGCAGCTACGGAGACGCCGCTGTAACCGGAGCAGAGCCTGCAGAAGCACACAGCACGTTTTTCACAGTGCGAACCCCACTGCCGTGATTGCTATCCTTGTCCTGGGTCATGCTACCCACATCCCTGCCTGGAGACAGCACTAATGACTTGCCACAGCAGGACAGCAACTGGTGGGACTTCCCAGCCGCGGCATCTCTTCGGCAATCACTGCAGCATGTGCAATCTCTGACACCGTTTATTAGGGCTGCAGGGGCTGGGGCAGCTCAGGGGCACCCCTTTGGCAACGGATTCAGCCAAAAAGGATGGATCGCCTCTTTGAGGGACACATCAGCTGTCTGCCAGCACCCGATGCTCTTCCCGGCGTGGCCACACGGAGCTGTGTCACAAGGAGCCTCTCACTGAGACAAACCCCTCAGATACAGCGCTGTGCCCCAGTCATGCTGTTGAAGAGATAGTCCCTGCCGGTGCCTGGGATGGAGGCAGCACTCAGCCACTACTCCACAGGCGCTGCCCAGGCATTGCTGCCTAACGCCCATCTTTCCTGTCCCTAGATCCCTCTGCCCTAGGGAACACAGCCCAAGGCTGCTGAAGCCGTGGGACAGGGCACTCACTCGGGTCCTGGGCACAGCCATCGAACTTCCCCTGTGTGGAGGAGGGACAGGAGAGGATGCTGAGGGCCCAAGGGCTCTTCCTGAATCCCCAGCAGGGCACCCACCCTTGCTGCCATGGCACACACTTACTGGACTGCTGGCATGTAAGCATCCCTGTTCCTCCTTGCCCCCATCCTGCTCCACCACATCCCAGGACCTGCAGAGGGAAGAGGGCAAGGGGAGAGTATGCTGTCAGTGATGGGACTCCAGCTTTGACCCTGAGGGATGCTGCCAGGAGTAGGTTGGCAGCCAGGCTTTGCCCTGCCAGCTGTGCCCCATTGACCCTGTCATCCACCTACCTGCTCATCCCTTTACCCAGCCCATGTGTCCCCCAGCACAGAAGTAGATTGCAGCAGGGCCATGCTCCCCCAAGCACCACCTTTCAGTGGTGCCGGAAAGCACCAAGCTGATCTGCCACCACATCCACTTGTTTCCCCATGTGCTGACATACACTGCTCTTTGGAGGATGCTGTTCTGGGGGACTTGCAGCCCCAGAGGCCCCCAGCTGCCAGGGCCACCTGCAGTGGCTGAGCCCAAATCTTCTCTTGCATGGTCACCACAGCCCTAGTGCCACCAAGCACTGTGTCCCCAGCCTCACCAATGAACATGGATCCAGCCGTGCATTATGCCAAGGTCGTTGTGCCATGGGAGGTGGTTGTTACCCTGCCCACGGGCTTGCATGTCTCCTCACCGTGCAGACACCTTGTGCACACTGGTCTCAGGCTCTCTCATCCACCGCCTGTCACCTTGTATTGATCCTCCAGGGTGGGTGTGCAGCCTGCTGACCTCCTGGGAGCTTTCCTTGACAAATAGGGCTCACCCCTGCCAAATCGGGACTCCCCTGATGAGCTGCAGTGACCTCAGCCCTGGCGCCAGGACTCAGCCCTACAGTGGGTAGTGGCACCAGCGCTGTGCTATCCCACCCTGTCCACTGCAAAGCTTGTGCTTCAGCCTGGCCACCAACATCACTGTGCCCCAGCCAAATCTCTATCTCTGCACCCATGACTCACATCAGAGCTGCACTCTTGCCTTGGGCAGAGATGGCTCCCTGGCACAGCAACCAGCAGACCACAGCCAAATGTGGGGTATGTTAAACACCCTCAATGTGCTGTGTCTCTCCAGCAGTACCTGTAAGGACACTAGGACTTCTGATACTACCACCTCAGCCATTCACTCACGTCTTGCCCAGGAACAGCTTGCCAGGGTCCCGGTTGCTGCAGTAGGAGCAGAAGGCAGCCATGAACCCCTTTATTGCTCACTGTGGCATGCTGTGCCATACCATGCTGTGCATTGGGCTGGAGCTCACCTGAACAGCAGGCTCCTGGCTATGCAGCCCAGGGTGGCCAGCAGCAGGGCACCAGAGATGGTCAGCACAATCACGAACCAGGTGGCGGGTGCCATCCCCCCTCTGTCCGTGTGACAACCAGTGGCTCCTTCTGCAGCATCTGCAGAGGCAGTGGTCAGGGGGCATGCGAGGACCAGGGGGCACCACCTGTCCAGCAGACTCTGCTCACCGTGTGACAGGTAGTGGTGCTGGGTGGCATCAAGGTGCTCCAGGGGGTGACGTGCACCACCAGTGCCACCACGGTGGTGTGGCGGTGGGCACCAGAGCCACCCCACACCTCCACCAGTAGGACAAACGTTTGGGGCTCGGCTCGGTCATGGGTGAGGTAGACAATGGTGTTCTTGTCCAGCCGAAAGTGGCCATCCTTGTTGCCTGGATGAGATGGTCTGCTCAGTGCCCCACCATGGTGAGGGCTGTTTTGCGCCATGGCTTGGCCACTCCTTACCTCCAGCGATGGTATATGTCAGCCCAGTGCCATCAGGGCTGCCCTGGCATGCCAGGCGGGTGACAGGCTGGTGGCTGCCCGTGGGCCCGGCCATGATCTGCAGCTCCTGCACCTCGGGGATGCACACGGGCACCTGGTCTGGCACAGCCTGCTGGGAGCAGGGGGGCAGCAGTATGGTACCCAGAGTGCTCACAGCCACCACAGTTCACCCAACAGGCTGCACTCACACCTGCAGGCGTACAGACACGTCGCACAGGCAGCTCTGCTGCTTTGCTGGGTCTAGGTCGTTGTGGGTGTCTGTCAGCCGCACCCCCAGCCTGTAGCTCTTCTGCTGCCTGGAGTCCAGGGGTCCCACCACACGGATCTCACCTGTGGGGCAGCACAAGCTGCTGGAGGAAGGGGCTGGGTGCTCACCAGTGCGCCTGTCGATGGAGAAGGGCTGTGTGAGACCAGACCCCGCCTCCAGGCTGTACTCGAGGCTGTCCAGTGGGTAGTCACGGTCAGTGCCAACAATGCGTCCCACAATACTGCCAAAAGCTGCCGTCTCTTGCACAGTGAAGGTGGCACCGTTGGGGCACGCTGGTCTGAATTCATTCACAGGCGTCACCGTCACAAGCACAGGTACATGGGCTGTGTGGCACACAGCCGCTCAGCCACACTGGCACCACCCTGCAGCACACACCAGGCTGGGCAACACGTGTACAGTGGCACCAGCTCTGGGGTGGCCATTTCTGGGGCAGAAGGGGAGGAATGTTTCCTCTGTCACCTGCTGGTTTTGGCATCGGGAAAGGGCTTTTCCTCCCTCCCCCAGTGCAACCCCCAGGCAAACCCCAGGGACACAGGCACTCACTGCTCTGTGGGGGCTGCCCTCCTGCCGTCACCATGACGGTGGCCGTGAACTGGAAGCCCACAGCAGCCACAGCCTCTGAGTCATAGTCCAGAGTGGTGTTGACCTGTCAAGACAGAATGGGGGGATCCGGCAGAACCGAGGTGCTCTGCAAAACTAGGATGCCCTGGAAAGCCGGGGTGTCCCATAAGGCTTCACATCTCAGGAGAGCAGGAGGGAGGAAGCTGGGAGAACAGGCAGGCCTTGGGGAGCAAGGAGCCCCAAGGAGCCCTAACCCAGGATCTAGCATGACAACACGTCACGGAGTAATCCCTGTCGTGCCAGGCTCCCCAGGGTCTGGGCTTGCCAGCCACCGGGGCACTGTTCATGACCCCACTCACTTGCAGCCGTGGCCCCTCCATGCAGAAGTTGGAGCGGGAAGCAGGGGGTCCCTCAAGGGCATAGCGCAGGCTCCTGTCAGTGCCGCTGGAGTCAGTGCACCTCAGTGTCACCAGGGTGCTGCCAGGGGACACTGTTTCGGGCACCTGGGACCTGAGACAGAGCAAGCAGCAGCTCAGCTACTGTTCCCTTTGTCCTGGGTGCAACAGAGCATCCCATGCACCCCAGTCCCCACCCCAAACCATACACGAAGATGGCTGGGACACATCTCAGTGCCTGATGATCTGTCCCTTGCACAGTGATGTTGACTGTGGCAATAGCATGGTCAGCAGGGTGCAGCACATTGTAAGCCCAAACGAGGAGATGGGCCTGAGCCACCTCCAGCCGGCGGGTGCTGCGGATTTCACCTGTCTCTGTGGGAGGAGACATGGCCTCACACAGGGCACGGGGACAGTGTGCCCCTGGGGACCCCTGCTGCCCTGCTCACCCTCATTGATGGTGAAGAGCCCAGGCACCACAGGAGCAAGGATGACATAGCGGACATTTTCACCACTGGCATGGACCTGTGTGACCACCTCCAAGGGGCCAATGCCCTCTGTTAGCATGACAGTCCAGTGTGGCTCACTGCAGGCAAGGTGGGTGATGTGGCATGGCCTGGTATCTCCAGCATCCCTCGACCAGCCCAACCCCACTCACAGGAAGGTGACACGGGGACGGCGTGATGGCAACACCTCTACCCTCACAATCCCACTGCAGTTGTGCCCATGGCGGTCTGTCACCTCGATCTCCAGCCTGAACACCTGCAAGGCAGCACCAGGGTGGCTGTGAGGCAGCACCAGGGTGGCTGTGAGACAGCCCCGAGTGGCACCAAGGATGGGAATGGAGATGGGGTGGGGATGCAGATAACAGTAGGGATGAGGATAAGGATAGTAATAGGGACAGGGATAGGGATGAGATGGGGACAGGAACAGGGACAGAGACAGGAAAGGAGAGGAGGACAGGGATGAGAATGGGGCTTGGAACAGGAACAGGGGTGGGAAGAGGGGTGGAGACGGAGACGAGTACAAACTGGAGACTGGAATAAGGACAAGAATAGGGGCAGGGATGAGGACTGGGACGGGACTCGAGCTACAGAAGGGATTGGCGACAGGGCTAGAGCATTCCCAGGCCCGGAGAGAGATAGGACCCCAGTGGAAAGAGCAGGATGTGGAGACCTACAGGCAGTGCCAGTGAGGGGCTAAGGCCAGGTGAGCTGAGAGGTGGCTGTGACAGCCTTGAGATGCTAGTGCCTACCTGTATGTCCCTGCTAAGGTCAAAACCATTGGCAGGTGCCAGCACCAGGCCCCGGTGGGTGAGCATGAGTGGTGTGTTGTTGTTTTGAAGCCTGAACTGCAGAAAGAAGGGTGATGGGAACACTGGTCTCCCTTCCCCACGCCCAGAGTTCTGCCGTCTCCAAGGCTGCTCCCATTTTTGGGGACTCTGGGCCCCCAGGGAGCTGCCACTCACCATCAGTCCACCAAGTGGCTGTGGCAGCACTGCATACAGGGGTGTCCAGGGCGCCACATCTGCGAGCACCTGCACCATATCACCCCCTGGGGCACAGCATGGCTGTGGGAGCCCAGTGCCAGCTGGCACCCACAGTCCCCACTGCCCTGTGCCTCTGGTTCCTGCCTGTGCTGGCAAAGGGGGTGCCACAGCGCAGCACCTGTCCCA